GTCTAACAACTCCTGAATCCTATCTTCCAAGTTCCAACCACTGGTCCATCGAGATCGCTCCCCCATCGATCTCCCCCCCCTTCTTGCTGCCACTGCATAAGCAACCCCACTGTCGTTTGCATCTGCTTGCATCCCTCCTCCAGTGTGGTAGTCCATTCTTCTGCTTGATGTTGTAGCTCCCCTTCCAAATCTATCTCCCCCCTCATTAGCTGCGCCACTCACACAGTTTTACTGCACCCCTTGTAATCCCACGGCTGGCGCTACCCCTGCTGACGTGTCATGGGACGTCAGTGTCACCGAACAACAGGCGCCACGTGGCCACAAGCCACATCACACCTACCGAGCACGTGCGCAGGCCCAGCAGTCGGGGAGCTGTTCTCCCCAGGCGCTAGTCAAGCTGGGGTGACCAGGCCTTACCGGTCCGCCGGCGTCAGGGCGCTAAATCGCGGCGGCAATTCTAGACATTTTCCATTTTTGTCACTTGGCCGGTTCTCCCCACTGTGCTACCGGTAGTCCTCATGAACCTCTGCTACCGGTCCCCCCCAATTTAGGACAGCGGGGGTAGGGGCTTTGAGTCCTTGACTGCCCCTCTCCGCCTCTACCGTTCAGTGTGCCAAGGTTGCCCTGTTGCTCCCTGCTCGTATAGCTGTATGATGGGAAACTTCGAGAGCTAGGGCAGGGTTTAGCAGATGTGGTAACAGCCCTCAAACAAATTGGGGTGGGGGTAGGGGGGTTCTCATAAGGGGGTGTTCAATAAGGGGGGGGCGGTTGTCATAAGGGGGGGCTAGATAAGGGGTGTGGGGTATAGAACTGGTATAAGCGGGGTATAAGGAGGGGTGTAACGGGGGTTTCAGAGGGGCGGCGGTAAGAGGGATGTAACGGTTCAACAGCCATCATTACTCCCCGCCTCTCTCTCTCTCTCTCTCTCTCTCTCTCTCTCTCTCTCTCTCTCTCTCTCTCTCTTTCTTTTTTTTTTTTTCTCTTTTTTTTGCAGGCTGTGTTTTTTTTTTTTTTTTTTTTTTTTTTTTTTTTTTTTTTTTCACTGGTAGGAGCAAAGGAGGATCCAGGACAAAATCCTACTACCGGTAGTTATCAAGACGCTGAGACTGGTGAGACAGTTCAATCATAATGCAGCCATCGTATTCATAGACTATGAAAAGGCCTTTTTTCTCCTTTTTTTTTTTGTTTGTTTGTACGCCGGAGTAGGTCTTCTCGTGGGGGTGATATGAGTAGCCTCCCTGAGTAGGGGCCTATTGTTGGCCGCTCCATATATTGGTGGGGAGCATCACCTGCTGGAAACCAGGTCCAGCGTCCCTTGAGTACATAAGTAACGCTTGCTTGATACATGAGAGTAATTGAAATAGGTTTCCTGTGGTCTTCTTGTGAGCCTGAGACTGCACCAGCACCTCTTCACCTTTCTGAGCGCCACCGGATATGACCTGTAGCAAGCAAGTGCTGTGCATTCTAAGCGCGAGGAAGACATTCTGCACTCTGCAATTGGGTGACCGAAGGAGGAATAGTCACCATACTACAGCCTACCAATGCCTAATAATGCCATTTGCTCCTTTTTCCTTTCTGCTTAAGCTCTCTGCTCCACTCTGGTACTTGTGTATCCTGGGGGTAGGGGGCACATACTTCCCCTTTACCCTTTTATTAGGGAAGGCGATAGAAGTGGCCTCCCCTAGTAGACCTACCTTCTTCCCCCGAATACAACGCACAGTCATTACAGCTGCATTTAGACTGAAATATACTCCAAATACAGCTATAATGACCGTAAGTTGTATTCGGGGGAAGACGGTAAGATTGGCCACTCCATCCATTAGTGGGGAGCTGCACCTGCTGGAAACTGGGTCCAGACTTTTTTTTTTTTTTTTTTTTTTTTTTTTTTTTCAAATAAACCACGGCTTGCTAGTGATGGTGATAAGATCAGCCATCACTAGTAGGCCGGCTACAGGCTTCATTCTATTGGTGGGGAGCTGCACCTGCTGGAAATCGGGTCCAGCGTCCCTGATACAATTCATGAAACATAGTGACAACAGGAGGACCACCTCTTCAGCCAGTAACCGGCCGCCAGATAACCCTGTCCAAGCTAGCAGTTCAACCTCCTAAAAAACATCATTCAAACCTATACACCATAAACCCCTTGCTTTAAAGTCCAGAGTGCGGCCAAAATTTGATGAAATTTTGGGTAGGGCGTTCTGAAAACGCCCTACCCCCTCGATGGATCTGGACYCMGSMKGRGTCCAGAKACATCGAGGTGGTAGAGKGTTTTCAGAACGCCCTACCCAAAATTTCATCAAATTTTGGCCGCAGTTTCGTGCAAAAAATAAAAAATGTCCTTTTTGACGAAATCGCTGTTTTGTCGACGTTTCTCAGGCGAGGTCCACGCCCTCCACACAGGACCACACTGCCTCAATGCCCTCAACCTCCACTTTAAAGTGGACAAAACTGGTGGAATGGTCATTTTTGTTCCACCAGTGGGGTCCACAACCGACACAAAGTCCATATGATGAGCCCCCTCAGGGCCCCCACCCAACTGCTCACGAAGGCCCAAGGGCGTTTTGGCCTGTTTCAGCCCTTTGGTCGGTACGACGGTACCCACTTTCTGGCCCAACACAGGGGGCTAATGGAGGGGGATTGGGTCGTGTGTCATGGGCAGGGGGAGAGGGTACTGTTACCCCCTTCAAGAGGAATTTTCAACTCATTTTTCATGTCATTGAATGGATGAAGATTCAACACGGAGCTCATCTGAGCCCCCAGAAGACTTCTCAGATTTATTCCCGCCTTCAGCTATGGCTATAGTGGACAACCAATGGTTTGGACATGTAGTCTTAGTCAGAAGACAATAATGATTGCTATTGTAACTATTCTCCGAGCATAGGCAGGCTTGAAATGTATGGTTATATCTGGTGGTCCTCAGAGGACTGAAGACGCAGGCCCCAGCTCACTTGGCACATGATCAATAGGCTGATCAGCATCAGTATTCCCATCATCATCCGATGTCTGTAGTGTCTGCATCTTCATCAATAGTATCCTGAGGGACGCTGGGGCTGGTTCCCATCATGTGCTGATGTATCATGATATCATCTCAACGTTGTATCTCAGGGGATGCTGGATCCGCTTTCCAGCACTGCCAGGTGCATCTCCCCAGAGTCCCCACCAATAGACTGGAGCCCCCTGCAAGACAGGTAGGAGTGCATGCTCATATCATCACTCCTATCTGTTGTTGCGGATGGAATTTATTCAAAAAAAAAAAAAAAAAAAGAAGTTTAGAGGGGCAGAAAACCCACAGGCAGGAAGACAATGTGTGCCATTAAGTGTGCATGGCACTGACAGTGTGTGTGTGTGTGTGTGTGTGTGTGTGTGTGTGTGTGTGTGTGTGTGTGTGTGTGTGTGT